AAATGTATGTTATGGCTCATGTCTGGATGTCCCCCAAAGCCTCATGCAGTCACAGGTGGGGCTTTTTCAGACGTGGCTGGATCTAGAGTGTGTGATGCCAGGATTGATTCATGATGCAGTGCTGGGCTCAAGGCCACTTGAACTAAAAGTATGAATGCTGCCTGCCCTAAGCAGCCTGAGTAAGATAAAGAGATAGAAAGAGCTGTAGTCGTCCCTTCTTGCTTTGCTACCTTCTGCCCACCATGAACTGTTTCTTCTCCACCATGCCACCCTGCCTTGGAGCCAGCCAGTTATGGACTAAAACTTCACAATCTATGAATTAAATAATCCTTTCCTTTCTTAACTTTGGGCATCATGTACTTTGTCTCAGCAACAAAAGAAAAGTAACTAAGACAATGGTACAACCTTACTAATAATCAGAGAACCAAAAATTAGAAATACCAGACACTAGGGAGGTAGGGGAATGGAGACATACAAAGTACCAATCACTAATCTTCAGATATCCAAAGGGGGAAGGGTCACATGCTAGCCCATTTTGGCAAGCGTATACTATACGGTACTTGAGGGGTTTAACTTGGTGCAAGCACCCAGGTGTGGCTTGCACCTATGATCCCAGCACTCCAGAAGGTGGAAGCAGGAGGACTGAGAGTTCAAACCCAGCCTGGGCAATTTAGCAATTTAATGAGATCCTGTCTCTTTCTCTCTCTCTTTTTTTTTTTTTTTTTTTTTTTGAGACAGAGTCACACTATGTAGTTCAGGCTGGACTTGAGCTCACTTTGTAGCCCAGTCTGGTCTTGAACTTGAGACAATCCTCCTGCCTCAGCCTCCTGAGTGCTGGGATTACAGGTGTGTGCCACCAGGCCCGGCAAGATTCTGTCTCAAAAAAAAAATAGAAAATAAATACTACCTGGCAGGGGAGATACCATGATCACGAAAGTGGTTTTCCCAGGGCGAGTTTTCTGCATTGCCCTCTGGATGTGCTGACCCCTGCAATTTGCCCAAATGTGGGAAACTCGACTGCATAATTTGTGGTAGTGGGGAAGTACATTCACGCTTTCCCCTGGAGGGTAAAAAAAGTAAAGAAAAAAGAAAGAGAAAAAAAAAAAAAAAACCAAAGCCAGGAGTGGTAATAAAGAATTTCTGGGTTCAGTTCCCAGTACAAAAAATAAAAAGGAAAAAGGAAAGGCCAGGGGGTGGGGTGGGGGAGGAAAGGCCAAGTGTGGTGGCACATGCCTGTAATCCCAGCACTTTGGAAGGCTGAGGCAGGAGGATTCTTATGAGTTTGAGGCCAGCCTGGACTACATAAGTGAGTTCAAGGCCAGCCTGAACTGCATAGTGAGAACCTGTCTAAAAACAACAACAACAAAAAGGACCTAAGTGGCACATGCCTGTAACTCCAGCACTCGGGAGGCTGAGGCAGGAGGATTGTTGCAAGTTTGATACCAGCCTGTGCTAAAAAGTGAGCTCAAGCCCAGCCTGAACTGCATAGTGAGACCCTGTCTCAAAAAGACAAAAAACAAACAAACAAACAAAAAAAAAAACGAGCTAGGGATGTAGCTCATTGTGAAGGCTCCGGGTTCAACCCCTAGTACTGGGGGAAAAATTGGTACAATTACTTTGGAAAAGAACTAGGCATGGTTTGAAAAAGTTGAAGCATGTGAATATCCAACTACAATTAGTAACTACATATTGTGGAGAAACTCCTGTACAGTGTTCCAGAAGACACACATCAGGAAGCTCATGGTATCACTGCGCTTAGGACAGAAAAACATGGAAACCAAGCCTCCCAAACACTTATTATAGTAGGAACGGGGAAAAAGCCAACTAACCACTAATTAAAGACTTTGCACTTTTTTTTTGAGTCAGGATCTCATTATGCAGCACAGGCTGGCCTCGAACTCTCTATGATCCTCTTGCCTCAGCCTCCAGAGTGCTGGGATTATAGGCATGTGCCACCACACCCAGCAATATTGCACTTTAAGCAATCAAATATTTTCTTTTTTTTTTTCCTGTGTTTTTGAGACAGGGTCTCGCTGTGTAGTTCAGGCTAGCCTTGAGCTCACTTTGTAGCCCAGGCTGGTCTCAAAAAAACTCTCGAGGATCCTCCTGCCTCAGCCTCACAAGTGCTGGGATTCCAGGCACGTGCCTCCACACCCAGCTACTGTGAAATACTTTACAGAACACTAATACAGAGCCAGGCATGCTGGCGCATGCCTGTAATCCCAGAATTCAGGAGGCTAAGGCAGGAGGATCATTGTGAGCTCAAGGCCAGCCTGAACTACACAGCAAGACCCTGTCTCAAAAAGACAAAAAAACAAAAAAACAGTGATTCAGTATTTTTTTATTTTTTATTTTTTTTATTTTTGGTACTAGGATTCGAACTCAGGACCTTGTGTTTGCCAGGCAGGCACTTGTGCCACTGAGCTATATCCCCGGCCCACTAGTACAGTATTTTTAAGAATTTATAGCACTTTGGTGATTGTACTGGGGACAAAAGTATGTATATACTACTGTAAACACTGTAGTATAGCCCTCTGAACTCTCACCTGTGTGCATATATGTACTCATGGGTTCTTTTACTTAAATGGGACCATACTTTTGTGAGTTTTTGTTTTGTTTTGTTTTGTTTTGTTTTGTTTTGTTTTGTTTTGTTTTTTTGGTCTTTTTGAGGCAGGGTCTCGCTATGCAGTTCAGGCTGGCCTTGAGCTCACTGTAGCTCAGGCTGGTCTCAAACTCGCCATGATCCTCCTGCCTCAGCCTCCCAAGTGCTGGTATTACAGGCCTGTGCCACCACGCTCAACTACTTCTGTGACTACTAACACTAGAGCACTCTGCATTCCAGGCTCTGATACAAATGCATACCAGCTCAGACAGTCCTCACAGATGGCTCACGGGGTGGGTAGCAAGAAGGGATTACTACCACCTCCATCATACACAGGACAGGAGGCAGAGACCAACAGCCTCCCCAGGGCTGAGGCTGTGCAGGGCAGAGCCGCAGCTGATGCTGCGTTTTGCCTCCCGTGGCTGGGCTTCTAACACCCAATGGAGCCTGTCCTCAACCAGAACTAAATTATTGAATTGTTGATGGCTTTTTTCTCTAGTACTAGGGACCAAACACAGAGCTTTGGCTCTGAACTACACCCCCCACCCTTTTTATTATTTTTATTTTCAGACAGGGTCTCCCTAAATTCCTCACACGGGACTCGTCACACCCTCCTCACTTACCCTCTAGGGTGCTGGCAGGACAGGCCAGGGACACCAGGCCTGGTTCAAACCTGTTTGTTGTTGTTTATTTTTCAAGTTTGTGTTTGTTTGTTTTTCCTTCTTATCTATCTGTGCATTGAAGACTACCTGTACCATGTTAAAGTTGTTATCCTACCTACTTGTCTATATCTCTCATCCTTCCACTGACACTTTTTTTTTTTTTTTTTTTTTTTTTAGACAGGGTCTCTCTTTGCAGTTCAGGCTGGCCTTGAGCTCACTTTGTAGCCCAGGTTGGTGTCGAACTTGCAACAATCCTCCTGCCTCAGCCTCCCGAGTGCTGGGATTACAGACGTGCGCCACCACACCTGGCTGACACTTTTCATCTTTTTACTCCAACCTCCACCGATCTCCTATCAGCTTCTTGCACTGTCTCAGCTAATGACACCATTAGTCCTGTCACCCTAACCTGACCCTGAACCACAGCTCCTTTCGATTCCTCATTCCCACCTCTACTACCACACCTCTTACCAATTTCTCTCATCCAATATTTCTCGCATCTCTGTCTTCAACTCCAGCCTCATCTCTGCAAGTTCATTAAGTTCCTGATCTGATTCTCTCTCTTTCCCCGTTTTTTTTGGTACTGGGAATCAAACTCAGGACCTTGTACTTGCCAGGCAGGCGCTTGTGCTGCTGAGCTATATGCCCGGCCCTAAGTCCCTGCTCTGAATACTGAATACTGGACTCACCTTCTAATTATTCTCCCATCTGGGATCTCTAGCCATTCTTCTCCTCAGTTCTCCTCTGCAGCCAATAATTTTTCTCCAAAGATATCCAATCTTGCTGGGTATGGTGGTGCATGCCTGTAGTCCCAGCACCGAAGAGGTTGAGGCGGGAGGGTCAAAGTGAGTTCAAGGCCAGTCTAAACTACATACCGAGATCCCGTCTCAAAAAAAACCAAACCAAACCAAACGCACAAAAAAGATATCCAGTCTTGTTCTTACCCTTGAAATCTGGCTACCTCTTATTTTCAGGAAAAAAAGGAACATCAGATTTTGTTTTATGGGTTTGTGTACATTTGTGTTGCTAGGGATTTGAACCTCAGCACTCAATTGTGTTAGGCAACTGCTATACAACTGAGCTACATCCCTAGCTCTAAAGCACAACTTTTTTTTTTTTTTCCATAAAAGAAGGCATTTTAATATTTGGATAATCAGGGGGTTTTGTTTTGTTTTGTTCTGGTTTGGTTTGGTTTGGTTTTTGGCTTTTTGAGATGGGGTCTTGCTGTGTAGCCCAGGCTGGCTGTGAGCTCGTGGCTGTCCTCCTGGACTTTCACCTGCTTTCCCAGCCACGCGAGTCCTGAGTGTTTCTCTTCTGTCCCTGTGACTCCTCTCCAGATTTACCAAGCCACTTCCTATCTGCCTTTTTGTTGTTGTTGTGGGTGGTGTGAAGGGATTGGGACGGGTCTCTCGCTGGGTACGCAAGCGCCCCACCACCGATGGCCGATTTGCGCATTTTTATCCCGTCTGGGTCCGGGAGTGACGTCCTTTGGTCCTTTGCCCTGCCATTCAAGCGCGTCTTCTCACTTCTCAGGACCCAGGTTTCTCCAGACCACCTATGGCAAGGCCTCCGTCACCCCGCGCAGAATCACTCCCTCTTCCTTTGTTCCCGCAGCACTGTACTCACGCTGTAATTACAGACGCGCTAACGCTGTATCGTGATTTATTTATATGTCTCTGTCTCACCAGGTTGTGCTCTCCTTCAGGGCAGGGGCTGGATTTCATTCATGCTCGTAGCCATAGCTTGGCATGCAGTCAAGATCCAATAAATGTCTGTTAAGTGAAGAAATAACAGAATGTGTTTGATTTGACTTTGCAAAAAATACAGGAACTATTTCTTTGAAAGGACATTTCTTACAATCACCTTTGTATAGAAGCTAAGGACGTAAGATTAAATCTTAATTTAGCAATGCCCTTTGGCAGAAAACTATTTCAATATCAACAAGTTTGCTTTCTGATATTACTTAACACAAGGGTGTCAAGGAATAGTTACAAAGACACATCTTAAATGCCTGAATGGAAGAAGCTGAACACATAAATACGAATGGTGGCCGGGGATATAGCTCAGAGGCACAGCACCTGCCTGGCAAGCACAAAGTCCTAAGTTCGATTTCCGGTACCAAAAACCAATTTTTTTAAAAATAAAAAAAATAAATATGGGCGGGCGTGGTGGCACATCCCTGTAATCCCAGCACTCAGGAGGCTGAGGCAGGAGGATTGGTGTGAGTTTGAGACCACCTGGGCTACAAAGTGAGCTCAAGACCAGCCTGAACTGCATAGCGAGACCCTGTCTCAAAAAGACAAAAAAAAAAAAAGATAGAAAAGTCATCCTCATGGAGGGAGAAATAAATATCCAGTGCAATGTGATAAGGGTAGGACGGGGTCTGGGCAGTGTGTGCATTGTAGATAAGACAGTCAAGAGCAGGACTCTGAGGGGTGAAACGTGAGTCAGGATCGAATGAAGCAAAGGAGGAACCATGGAAGGAGGAATAGAAAATGCGAAGGCCCTGAGCTGAGCTGGGTCCCAGGCACGCAGCTGCATGAGTGGAGGGTGGCAGAGAGCTGTCGGGGAGGGACGTGGGGGCCACCACCAGGAGAGCTGGATGGGGTGCTGAGGACATGAGAAGAGGGCTCTCAGAACCGAGCTAGCAAGTGCCAATATTTAGAGGCCTGGGGAAAGAACGATCCAGGAAAGGGAACCACAGGAGGGGCAAACCCGGGCATGGACGGCATACTAGAAGCCCGGGGGGTGCAGTGTGTGGTTTACCATGGAAAAGTTCTTTGTGTGTCAAAATATAGGAGAAAAGCTGGAATGTTCAGGGAACAGTGTGTCATTCCGGGTATAGGAGCTGAGTCTGAGCGGGACGGGGCAGGAGAGAGGGGCTAGAAAGCAACACTTTCAGTCATGCACCTGCACAACGATTGTTCTTTTCTACTCATGGGAGGGAATCCAGAGCCTCGCCCACGTTGGGCAAGCACTCTACCACGGAGCCACCGCTCCAGCCCTTTCTAATTTTAAACTTTGAGTCAGGGTCTCATAAATTGCCCAGGCTGGCCTTCAACTTGTTATCATTCTGCCTCCTCTTCCTGAGCAGCTGGGATTACAGGCATGCACCCCCCTCACAACCATGTCCGCATGAAGGGGCTCCAGAGGTGGGACTCAGAGGTGGAGGGCTCACCTTGTGTGCAGGAGGAGCGAAGTTTGATAAATACACAGAGGTGATCAAAGTATAGGGTAAGTACCTAAATTTTTAAAAATTACAAGAAAAAAGAAAAGAAAAAATAAAAATAAATATTATAGTAAAAGACACATTGTCAAAAAAAAAAAAAAGACACATTGTCATTAATCCCCCTCACTTTGAACACATTTATCCTATCTTTCTTGCCACTTTCTGAAGCAGTTCTGGAGGTCCTCCTTTGTGATTTTTTTTTGTACCGGGAATCGAACTCTGGACCTTGTGCTTGCCAGGCAAGCACTTGTGCCTCTGAGCTATATCCCCAGCCCTCCTTTGTGATTTTGAGGCCAGCCAGATGTGATCAAACTACAGTGGAAGGGCTCCAAGAGACGAAAGGGGCGGGAACAGGGAGGGGAAGGGGAAATAAAAAGAATTAAGATGTGTTCCATACGTGTACCAGCTCCTCATGATGAAGGAAACCATTAGGTACTGCAAATATGTACTAATAAAAATGAATCTGCTGGACATGGTGCCACACGCCTGTAATCCCAGCATGGGGGAGGCTGAGGTTGTCTGATCACTTTGGAGGCCATCCTGGGATACACACAGAGTTCAGCAGCAGCCTGAACTGCACAGTGAGACTCTGTCTCAAAAAATATTAATTAATGAATTTTTTAAAATACTGTACATGCTGCTGCCCAGGGCCATCCACAGAAAGCCAGACTAGTAAAAGCATGACAGTGTGACTTCATCTCCCTTATTCACCAGGTCTGGTACCGTCTAACATCTGACTCTCCCCACAGTCAAAATGACCATAAGAAGTAAACATTTTGAATCTATTCAGGACAAGACATCCATGACAGCTCAACTCATGACCCTCAAAGGAGGACTTCCAGAACTGCTGCAGAAAGTGACAGGAACGATGGGGTAAGTGTGTTCAAAGGGCGGGGGAGGATTTTGAGGCAGATTAACTTTAAGGTGTCTTTTACTGTAGTAATTAAAAAAAAAGCAAACATTTACTATATTTTCTAATCACATTACATACGCACACATTTAAATGAGAAGACCTTACGTAACAAGGCAAATGTAGAGCACGTAGTCATTCAGAAATCACTTCACGAATGCCAGCTCGTTTGTCCCTCCAGCAGTCTTGGGCGGTGCAGGATGTGGGGATGGGCACAGTTACGGCCACTTCAAAGACAAACACTGCCGGGATGGGGTGAGCTTCTGCAATCCCAGCATTCAGCAGACTGATACAGGAGGAGTGATAGTTTCAGGCCAGCCTGGGCTACATGGTGAGATCGTCTCGAAAAGAGAGACAGAGAGAGAGTCACTGAACAGTGACAGAAACAGAGAATCCTTATTCTGATTTTCCTCTACCTCCAGTGCTCTGTCTTCTCCTCCTCTTCCTCCTTCCCTTTCTCCTTCCCCTTCTCTTTTGTCCTTTTACATTGCAACTGGATGTGGTGGTTTACATCTGTACCCAGCACTCAGGAGGCTGAGGCAGGATTGTCTTGAGTTCAAGGCCAACCTGGGCTACACAATGAGTTCAAGTGAGGCCTAAACTGCATATTGATACCCTGTCTCAAAAACAAAAAGCATTATTGTTCCTTGATGAATAATTTATTATCCTGTTCTTTTTTTGCTCTAACATTGTGGTGTTTGCCTAAACCCCACAATTAAGAAATCAAGAGTTAAATCAACCAAAAATTTTCTGATATGGACAAATATGAGATGAATCTGTCACTGTGAGTTATTATTCATAGGGACTAACTGGGATCAGAATCTAATGGGATTCAGCTGGAAGCACTTTCTGTCTCTTAGTGGAAAGCTTAAGACTTCATGAGTCGGGGGTGGTGGCACAGGCCTGTAATCCCAGCACTCGGGAGGCTGAAGTAGGAGGATCCTTGAGAGTTCGAGACCAGCCTGGGCTACAGAGGGAGCTCAAGGCCAGCCTGAACTGCATAGCAAGACCCTATCTCAAAAAAAAAAAAAGAGATCAAAAAAGGACTTTTTTTTTGGTACTAGGAATCAAACTCAGGACCTTGTGCTTGCCAGGCAGGCACTTGTGCCACTGAGCTACATCCTTGGCCCTTCTTTTTTTTTTTTTTTAATTTTTTGAGACAAGGTCTCACTGTGTAGTTCAGTCTAGTCTTGAATTCACTATGTAGCTCAGGCTGGCCTCAAACTCACAAGGATCCTCTTGCCTCAGCCTCCTGAGTGCTGGGATTACAGGTGTGCACCACCACCATGCCTGGCCTAAGGATTCTTCACGTGATCTTAGTCAAAAGGCTGAGAAGCGATGGCCTAAGGATTCTTTTTCAATGGATTTTTTTTTCCCCCAATGGATCTTTTAATCATGTACTTTATTCTTTCTATAGATTTTTTAAAAACATGACTTTGATTTTCCTATTTCCTCATTTATTGAAATTCTTGTTTTGGGGTTTTGTTTTATCTTGTTAGAGACAAGGTCTCATTACGTAGTTCAGGCTGGCCTTGAATTCACTTTATAGCCTGAGCTGGTCTCAAGCTGTTGGTGATCTCCCTGCCTCAGCGACCCGAGTGCTGGGATTACATGTGCACCACCATGCCCACCCTTATTTATTGGAAATTCCACCCAACAACTAAAAAAATGTGTGAAGTATCTTTTCCATGTCACACTTTTGTGCATGATAGAAATAAGGAGATGATCCAAACACAGTTTCACAACTCACACAATTTATTGCACATGCAAAGAGAATTTTTCTGAGATTCACAGTACTCTAAGGGGAAGAAGTAACACAAATAAATCTCACAAGGCACAACTCAGTGGACGAAGTTCATTTACCTCAGAGTGAGTGAGTTCCAAAATTACTAAAATGCAGGTGTTCAGCGTGAAAGCAGCCTCCACAGAAAGGAGAGTCTTATTTAAGCGTGAGGCAAACACCAGCGCTTGTCAGCAGAGGCTGGCCTAACTTCCTCCGCCTACATCCCTGAGCACATCAGAGGACCGCTGTGCAGGAGGGCGGTGCGGTGCTGGTGCTCCAGGTTCCAGCAGAGCTCACAGTGCGAGCCCCAGGCGTGTGGGGGAGCAGCCACCAGGACGCAGCCTTGCTGGCTGAGCTCTCCAAGTGTCTGGCAAACGCTCCCGTGTCCATGTATTTTGAAATCCAGTATCTGAGGTCAGTAACCCGCATATGGGAGACCGGCTAAGATGTGAAGTGACATTCCTGAGGGCAGGAGGCATTCTCACTGTGGGGTTTGATGAGATGTCCACTCCCAAAGAGAGATGGGTGTTCTAAGTTTTCATATGTGGGGTCGGATAAGATGTCCATTCTTAAACCAGCAAGAAAAAAAAACCCAGACAGTGCTTGGCATGGTGGTGCACACTTGTAATCCCAGCACTCAGGAAGCTGAGGCAGGAGGATTTTTGCAAGTTTGGGAACAGCCGAAACTATAAAGTGAGCTCAAGGCTAGCCTGAACTACATAGTAAGATCCTGTCTCAAAAAAAAAAAAAAAAAAAAAAAAAATCAAGGCCAGGCGTGGTGGTGCACGCCTGTAATCCCAGCACTTGGGAGGCTCAGGCAGGAGGATTATTGTGAGTGCAAGACCAGACCTGGGCTACAAAGTGAGCTCAGGGCCAGCCTGAACTCAAGAGCGAGACCCTGTCTCAAAAAGAAAAAACAAGGGGCTGGGGATTTAGCTCAGTGGCACACTGCCTGCCTGGCAAGCAAGATGTCATGAGTTTGATTCCCGGTACCGGAAAAAAAAAAACCAAAACCAAACCAAACCAAGCCAAAACAAAACAAAAATCAAGACAAAACAATAATAGAAACTCAAAAAAAAAAAAAAAAAAAGTAGCCAACTATGTATTTGAAATCATTCCAAAGCTACCTAAGTGATTTTAACCAATGTCTAGACCCACATCTGAGGTTCTTAACAAAACTTTAAGTAGATTAGTGATGGGCTAGAGTTCCTGCTTGTTATAGCTTGGGTCTAGACATCCCCGCAAAGCCTCATGCATTCACAGGTGGGGATTTTTCAGAGGTGGCTGGATCCAGAGTGTGACACTGGGATTGATTCCTGGTGCAGTGCTAGGACCAGGGCACTAGGATTAAGGGTGTGAGTGCTGCCCACCTTGAGTAGCCTGGATAAGGTATAAGGGATAGAAAGCTGTGGTCTTCCCTTGTTGCTCTGCTACCTTCTGTCCGTCATGAACTGTTTCTCCTCTTTGATTCACCCTGCCTTGAAGCCAGCTGATTATGGACTAAAACCTCCACGAAATATGAGCTACAATCAACCTTTCCTTTAACTTTGGGTGTTGAGTATTTTGTCTCAGCAACGAGAGAAAAGTAAGACATCACTTGATCTTTGCAAATGGCTTGCTACATATTCTTGTGGGAAGCAAGGGGTAACGGGTATGTGACAAATATGTGTAGAAATTAAAAATATGTATTTTTTGTGGTACTTGAGATTGAACCAAGGACCTTCGTATTGAGCTACATGCCCAGTCTTTCTTTCTTTCCTTTTTTTTTTTCTTTCTTTCTTTCCTTTTCAGACAGGGTCTCAATGTGCAGTTCAGGCTGGCCTTGAACTCACTTTGTAGCC